ATCGCTTGAACGCGGGAGGCAGAGGTTGCAGTGAGCCGAGATCGTGTCACTGCACTCCAGCCTGGGCGACAGGACAAGACTCTGTCTCAAAAAAAAAGAAAAAAAATCACTTTAGTGTCTGGCTTAAGAGACTACAGCTGCATCGTCATAGCTGCCTCTGCATTCAGTCTTCTGTGATGTGTTGTTCGCGTTGAATACACAAAATATCCAGCCCACACAGATAAATACTTGGAAAAGGGAGGAATATTTTAATAGCCTTTTCAGATAATTGTGGATATTCTTCCTTGATACTACATCAAAACTCAAGTGGTGGTTCTTTTTTTTTTTTTTTTTTTAAACGGAGTCTTGCTCTGTCGCCCAGGCTGGAGTGCACTGGCATGATCTCCGCTCACTGCAAGCTCTGCGTCCTGGGTTCACGCCACTCTCCTGTCTCAGCCTCCCAAGTAGCTGGGACTACAGGCACCAGCCATCACGCCCGGCTAATTTTTTGTATTTTTTTTTTTTTTTTTTTTGAGACGGAGTCTCGCTCTGCCACCCAGGCTGGAGTGCAGTGGCCGGATCTCAGCTCACTGCAAGCTCCGCCTCCCGGGTTCACGCCATTCTCCTGCCAGAGTAGCTGGGACTACAGGCGCCCGCCACCTCGCCTGGCTAGTTTTTTGTATTTTTTAGTAGAGACGGGGTTTCACCGTGTCAGCCAGGATGGTCTCGATCTCCTGACCTCGTGATCCGCCCGTCTCGGCCTCCCAAAGTGCTGGGATTACAGGCTTGAGCCACCGCGCCGGCCAATTTTTTGTATTTTTTAGTAGACACGGGGTTTCACCATGTTAGCCCGGATGGTCTCAATCTGCTGACCTCATGATCTGCCCGCCTCGGCCTCCCAAAGTGCTGGGATTACAGGCGTGAGCCACCGTGCCCAGCCTTAAGTGGTGGTTCATAAAGGTTAGTTGCAGTGTGGAATCTAAAGTGGCATTAGTACATTTTTTTGTATTCGATTATATTAAAATCCATTGGTCAGCTGGGCGAGGTGGCTTATGCCTATAATCCCAGTACTTTGGGAGGTTAAAGAGGGTGGATTGCTTGAGTTCAGAAGTTTGAGACCAGCCTAGACAACACAGCAAAAACTCATTTCTACAAAATATCTAAAAATTAGTTGGGTGCAGTCGGGTGCAGTGTCTCACACCTGCAATCCCAGCACTTCGGGAGGCTGAGGCGGGTGGATCACAAGGTCAGGAGTTCGAGACCAGCCTGACCAACATGGTGAAACTCTGTTTCTACCAAAAATACAAAAATTAGCCAGGCGTGGCGGCACATGCCTGTAATCCCAGCTACTCAGGAGGTTGAGGCATGAGAATCACTTGAACTCGGAAGGCAGAGTTTGCAGTGAGCCAAGATCATGCCATTGCATTGCAGCCCGGGCCACAGAACGAGACTGTCTCAAAAAAAAAAAAAAAAAAAAAATTAGTCAGGTGCAGTGGTGCATGCCTGTAGTCCCAGCTACTCAGGAGGCTGAGGTGGGAGGATCCCTTGAGCCCAGGAGTTTGAGGCAGCAGTGAGCCAAAATTGCACCCTGCACTCCAGCCTGGGTGACAAAGTGAGACCCTGATTCAAAATAACAATAATAATAATCCATTGGTCTTTTAGCACTTTGGAAGGATCTTGTACCCACGTGTAGTCTCATAACATCATGCACTGACTTTTCAGAAAATATTGGTTCATTGAATAATGCACATCTTATGAATGTTGACATATTTTATTATGTAATATAAAAATATAACATTCATTCTCTTTGCCACCAATCTCATTGAAAAAGTCTTGAAGTAGTGGGAGGTTGTGAAATGAATGGTGTCAAATACAAGTTTTCTTTTTTTTTTTTTTGAGATGGAGTCACACTGTATTGTCCAGGCTGGAGTGCAGTGGCGCGATCTCAGCTCACTGTATGCTCCGGCTCCCAGATTCACGCCATTCTCCTGCCTCAGCCTCCGGAGTAGCTGGGACTACAGTCACCTGCCACCACGCCTAGCTAATTTTTTGTATGTTTAGTAGAGACAGGGTTTCACCATGTTTGATCTCCTGACCTCGTGATCTGCCCGCCTCAGCCTCCCAAAGTGCTGGGATTACAGTTATGAGCCACTGCCCCGGCCAAATACAAGTTTTCAAAATTTTTTTTTTTTGAGACAAAGTCTCATTCTGTTGCTTAGGCTGGAGTGCAATGGCGTTATCTCAGCTCACTGCAACCTCCGCCTCCCGGGTTCAAGCAATTCTCCTGCCTCACCCTCCTGAGTAGCTGGGATTACACGTGCCTGCCACCATGCCTGGCTAATTTTTTGTATTTTTAGTAGAGACGGGGTTTCACCATGTTGCCCAGGCTGGTATTGAACTCCTGACCTCAGGTGATCCACCTGTCTCGGCCTCCCAAAGTGCTGGGATTACAGGCATGAGCCACCGTGTCTGGCCCTAAAATTTTAATTTTTGCTTGAAAGTTAGAATTTTTTTTTTTTTTTTTTAAGATGGAGTCTTGCCTCTGTTGCCCAGTCTGGAAAGCAGTGGCACTATCTCGGCTCACTGCAACTTCTGCTTCCCGGGTTCAAGCAGTTCTCCTGTCTCAGCCTCCCGAGTAGGTGGGACTACAGGGGCAGACCACCACGCTCAGCTAATTTTTGTATTTTTAGTAGAGATGGAGTTTCACCATATTGGTCAAGCTGGTCTTGCACTTTTGCCCTCAGGTGATCCACCCACCTTGGCCTCCCAAAGTGCTGGGATTACAGGCGTGAACCACTGTGCCCAACCAAAAGTTAGAATTGCAAATTTTATCCTTGGCAACAAATATTGTCAGTTGTTTTCCTTCAAGTGACGGACTCACTTCTCACTTTTCTCTTTTTTTTTTTTTTTCTCAGACAGGGTTTCACTCCATCACCCAGACTGGAGTGCAGTGGTGTGATCTCAGCTTACTGCAACCTTCGCCTCCTGGGTTCAAGTGATTCTTGTGCCTTAGCCTCCTGTATAGCTGCAATTACAAGCGTGTGCCACTGCACCCAGCTAATTTTTGTATCTTTAGTACAGATGGGGTTTCGACATATTGGCTAGGCTGGTCTCGAACTCCTGGCCTCAAGTGATCTACCCACCTCATCCTCTCAAAGTGCTGGGATTACAGGCATAAGCCATTGCACCTGGCCCTCACTTTTCTCATTTTTGAGAAGATGGCTGCCAAATACCCAAATCTGAATAACCACAGTTTGTCAGTGGTTCTACCAAATAAAAACAGTGTTCCACAAAAAAAAAAAAAGCTAATTATTAACACAATTCAAATAGTTGCACACACCGTTCTGCTAGAGACAACTGTATGCCCAGAGGTGCTGTATGTGTATTTCCTCTTTCCCATTTCAACTAACAACAACAACAAAAAGATGTGTACTCAATGGCTAAGAATTGATAAAATGAACAATTCTGTGTTGCTTCATCAAGGACTTTTTTTTTCTTTTCCTTTTTTTTTTTTGAGACAGAGTCTCGCTCTGTCGCCCAGGCTGGAGTGCAGTGGCCGGATCTCAGCTCACTGCAAGCTCCGCCTCCCGGGTTTACGCCATTCTCCTGCCTCAGCCTCCCGAGTAGCTGAGACTACAGGCACCCGCCACCTTGCCCGGCTAGTTTTTTGTATTTTTTAGTAGAGACGGGGTTTCACCGTGTTAGCCAGGATGGTCTCGATCTCCTGACCTCGTGATCCGCCCGTCTTGGCCTCCCAAAGTGCTGGGATTACAGGCTTGAGCCACCGCGCCCGGCCTTTCTTTTTTGAGTTTTGCTCTTGTTGTCCAGGCTGGAGTGCAATGGCGAAATCTTGGCTAACTGCAACCTCCACCTCCCAGGTTCAAGCGATTCTCCTGCCTCAGCCACCTGAGTAGCTGGGGCTACAGGTGCCCACAACCACGCCTGGCTAATTTTTTTTTTTAATTGAGACGGAGTCACCTAGGCTGGAGTGCAAGGATGCCATATTGGCTCACTGCAACCTCCGCCTCCTGGGTTCAAGCGATTCGCCTGCCTCAGCCTCCCGAGTAGCTGGGATTACAGGCACCCGCCACCATGCTCACCTAATTTTTGTATTTTTAGTAGAGACTGGGTTTCAACATGTTGGGCAGGCTGGTCTCGAACTCCTGACCTCATGTGATCCACCCGCCTCGGCCTCCCAAAGTGCTGGGATTACAGGCGTAAGCCACCGCGCCTGGCCTGATTTTTGTATTTTTAGTAGACACAGGGTTTCACCAGTTTGGCCAGGCTGGTCTTGAACTCTTGACCTCAAGTGATCCGCTGGCCTCCGCGAGACTCCATCTCAAAAAAAAAAAAAAAAAAGTTTCAACACATGAATATTTGGGGACACAGATCATCATAAGTGTATTTGTTTATACAGTTGATAATGGTCTTTTGTGTTTAAAAAAATTATCAGCAAGTTCTCCCCATTCTGAGAAGGGACTGAGGCTGCGGGGCAGAACCGCACTCCTGGCGGCGGGTATGGCCTAGACCCTGGGGAGGCCGTCGGGCGACCGCTGAGTCCGCGCGCGCCCTCTCCTGGCCGCCAAGAGCATCGGCCAGAATGTCCCCAGGTTCCAGCTCTGACCCAGATGAGGCCCTGCCCAGCGCTCTGTGCAGCCCAAGGAAAACTGCAGAGATTGCATGCACAGGAGAGAGCAGCCTTTTGTTCGTCTGTACACCCCTCTCCCTTTTCTCTTTTTCTTTTTTTTTCCAGATGGAGTCTGTCTGTCGCCCAGGCTGGAGTGCAGTGGCGCAATCTCGGCTCACTGCAACCTCTACCTCCTGGGTTCAAGCGATTCTCCTGCCTCAGCCTCCTGAGTAGCCTCCCGATTACTGGTGTGCACCACCACGTCCCGCTAATTTTTTTGTATTTTTAGTAGAGATGGTGTTTCAGCATGTTGGCCAGGCTGTTTTTGAACCCCTGACCTCAAGATCTGCCTGCTCTGGCCTCCCAAAGTGCTGGGATTACATGCGTGGGCCACAGCGCCCGGCCCCTGCCACATTTCTTAATCAAAACACCTCAGCTTTGCCGGGGTGCAGGCTGCTGAAGGCACCCACGCGGTGGGTGGGTTCCTGTTGATCCCTTCAACTTGGTAGTTTCATGGCAATTTGACTGCTTTGGACTTCACAAGTGACAGGGATTTGGCCACATGGATTTTTGAATTATTTATGACAGTGAAACAAATATGAAGTGATGCAAATGTCCATTTAATCATTTAAATGATGAACAATTAAATGAAATGTGGTCTATCCCTGCAATGGAAGTACAATACATGCTACGACGTGCATGAACCTTGAAACATGATGCCAAGTGAGAGAAGCCACACACAAGAGGCTACATGAGTTCATTCATGTGAAATGTCTGGAACAGGCAAATTCAGAGACAGAAGGTGGATCAGTGGTTGCCAGGGGCTTGGGGAAGTGACTGCTGCTGGGTACTAGTTTTCTTTTTAGGGCTGATGAAAAAATTTTGGAATTAATGATTATCAATGCCCAACCTTGTGAACAGACCAAAAGCCACGGAATTGTACACTTTAAAATGGTCAATTTTCTGCCTGGGCTCGGTGGCCCATGCCTGTAATCCCAGTACTTTGAAAGGCTTGAAGTAGGAGGATCACTTGAGATCAGGAGTTCGAGACTATTCTGGACAACATAGCGAGACCTCATCTCTACTAAAAATAGAGTGGGTGTGGTGGCATGCGCCTGTGGTCCCAGCTACTCAGGAGGCTGAGGCGGGATGATTGCTTGAGCCCGAGAGGTCGAGGCTGCAGTGAGCTGAGATCACACCACTGCACTCCAGCCTGGGTGACAGAATGAGACCCTGTCTCAAAATAAAATAAAATGGTCAATTTTATGGCATGTGAATTAAATCTCAATTTAAAAAGAAGAAAGGAATGGTCAAGACAGTGGCAGATCTATTAAAATTGCCCCTCAAAAATGGTTTGAACATCAGTAATTTCACTTTTTCCACATAATTCATCTTAAATACCAGAAAGTAAAACTAAAATGTCTTTTTTGTTTTGAGACGGAGTCTCGCTCTGTCGCCTAGACTGGAGTGCAGTGGTGTGATCTCGGCTCACTGTAAACTCCACCTCCCGGGGTTCAAGTGATTCTCCTGCCTTAGCCTCTCGAGTAGCTGGGATTACTGGCATGTGCCACCACACCTGGCTAATTTTAGTATTTTCAGCAGAGACAGGGTTTCGCCATGTTGGCCAGAATGGTCTCGAACTCCTGACCTCAAATGATCCACCCGCCTCGGCCTCCCAAAGTGCTGGGATTACAAGCATGAGCCACAGCACCTGGCCCTAAAATATCTTTTGCTTCTTGACTCTAGACGTGTATTTTCTGCATATTTTGCTAACCTTTTTACACTGAAAGTACTACTTGTTTAAACTGCATGTCAATTATTAAGCTAATTGTTACATTGTTGAAAACATTCACTGGTGTATTTTATATTGATACTTTCCTCATTCTGTGGCTCCATTGTCTTTTTTCACTCAGATGTTTTAAGTATTGAAAAAGTCCTGGCCTTTATAGGTGAGGAAGGAATGTTTATTTCAGTGGATGTCAGCTCAGAATCAAATTACCAAGGCGCAAAGCCCAGGCACACTCATTCCTAAAGTCTTTGGTTTCAATCATGGGATAAATATAGTTTGAACCTAACCTTCCTTTTGCTTCCCCTTCCCTTCCTTCCTTCCTTCTTTTTTATTGAGATAGGGTCTTGCTCTGTCACCCAGGCTGGAGTGCACTGGCACCATTATGGCTCACTGCAGCCTCAACCTCCCGGGCTCAAGCAGTCCTCCCACCTCAGTCTCTGGAGTAGCTGGGACTACAGGTATGCACCAGCATTCCTGGCTAATTTTTAAATTTTCTGTAGAGATGGGGTCTCCCTATATTGCCCAGGCTGGTCTCAAACTCCTGAGCTCAAGTGATCCTCCTGCCTTGGCCTCCCAAAGTGCAGAAATTACAGGTGTGAGCCACCGCGCCTGGCTATGTTTCTTCTCCTTTTCAGGCTTTCAGATGATTGCTGCTGGAGAGTCAAGTGTTCTACAAAGTCAGGCAGCCCTGGCTGCTGGGGCAGAGCCTGGAGGTGAGTTAGCAGCCATCTCTCCTTGGAGGTGATCTGGTTCCTCCTTTACCCACCAGTCCCTGTGAGCCCTGCCATGTGTGTGCACTGGCCACTGGGCAGACGGCAGCAGGCAAGGGAAGGGGCTTGGACATTAAGACACCAGTTTAATGTCCACTGTTACGACTGGATGGGAGGGAAGGCAAAGGAACAAGGAGGGCCATCATCTGGAAAAGACCAAATCTATAAACAGACAGCAGTTAGACCACCGTATTTTTTTTCTCTTCTAAGAGACAGTCTTCCAACCTGGGCAACATGGTGAAACTGTGTCTCCACTAAAAATACAAAAAATTAGCCAGGCGTAGTGGCACACACCTGTAGTCGCAGTAACTCAGGAGTCTGAGGTGGACGGATCACCTGAGCCCAGGACGCTGGGGCTGCAGCGAGCCTTGATAGCACCACTGCACACCAGCCTGGGTGAAGGGAGTGAGACTCTGTCTAAAAAACAAAAGAGAGAGAGAGAGAGAGACAGTCTCACTATGTTAGCCAGGCTGGTCTCAAACTCCTGGGCTCAAGTGGTCCTTCCCTATTAACCTCCCAAAATGGATTCAGGCGTGAGGCACCATGCCTGGCCTGCAAGAGAATTCTGACTCAATCTCTGGGACAATCAGCCTAGGCAGCCAAACCCCAGCCTCTGCAGTTACTGGCTCAGAACAGTTGGGAAGTCAGGAGTGGGTGGATGACTGCGGTGTCCCTATTTTTCTTTTCTTTTTTGGAACGAAGTTTCATTCTTGTTGCCCAGGCTGGAGTGCAATGGCACGAACTCGGCTCACTGCAACCTCTGCCTCCTGGGTTCAAGTGATTCTCCTGCCTCAGCCTCCTAAGTAGCTGGGATTACAGGCGCCCACCACCACACCTGGCTAATTTTTGTATATTTAGTGGAGACGGGGTTTCACCATGTTGACCAGGCTGGTCTTGAACTTCTGACGTCAGGTGATTCACCCGCCCTGGCCTCCCAAAGTGCTGGGATTACAGGCGTGAGGCACCATGCTCGACTTTTTCTTTTCTTCTCTTTTGTTTTTTTTTTTTTTTGAGACAGAGTCTAGCTCTGTTGCCAGGCTGTGGCTCGATCTCAGCTCACTGCAACCTCCGCCTCCCGGGTTCAAGCGATTCTCCTGTTTCAGCCTCTCAAGTAGCTGGGACTACAGGCGCACACCACCATGTCCAGCTAATTTTTGTATTTTTGGTAGAGACTAGGTTTCACCATGTTGGCCAGGATAGTCTCTATCTCCTGACTTTGTGATCTGCCCACCTCCAACTCCTAAAGTCCTGGGATTACAGGTGTGAGCCACCGCACCTGGCCTTTTTCTTTTTTTTTTTAAAATGAGACGGGATCTCATTCTGTCACCGAGGTTGGAGTGTGGCACCATCTCAGCTCACTGCAGCCTCTGCCTCCCTGGGCTCAAGCGATCCTCCTACCTCAGCCTCCCAAGTAGCTGGGACCATAGGCATGCACCACCATGCCCGGCTAAGTTTTTGTATTTTTTGTAGAGATGGGGTTTCACCATGTTGCCCAGGCTGGTCTCAAACTCCTCAGCTCAAGCAATCTACCCTGCTAGGCTTTCCAAACTGCTGGGATTACAGGTGTGAGCCACCGTGCCCAGCTAGCTTCCCTATTTTTCTCTCCACTTCCAACTTGAGACCAACCAGAGAAAGCCAAATGTGTTCCCCAAACCAATCACATAGGGAACTCTGCTTCTAGGGAGCTGTGGCCTCAGGATATAACTGAGCCCTCCCTTTTTTCCTCTGTGAAGTTTCTTTCTTCTCTGCCTGCCTTTGAGTTCTGCAGAATTAAAGTACTGGTGCTATACTTATTGCTATAGCAATAAGCACAAGTTGCTGTAGCAAGCCCTGAATAAACAGCCTCTGCTTGTCCTCATTTGAGTGGCCTGTGTATTTATACTCCCAGGAGACAGGGCAGTTACTCATCCCAAGGTGCTTTCCAGAGAGGAGGGACAAAACTGGAATCTAAAAGGTTAGTGCAGCTGGGTGCAGTGGCTCATGCTTGAAATCCTAGCCCTTTGGGAGGCTGTGATAGGCGGATCACCTGAGGTCTAGAGTTTGAGACCAGCCATGGCCAACATGGTAAAACCCTGTCTCTGCTAAAAATACAAAAATGAGCTGGGCATGGTGGTGGGCGCCTGTAATTCCAGCTACTTGGGAGGCTGAGACAGGAGAATCGCTTGAACCTGGGAGGCAGGGGATGCAGTGAGCTGAGATCATGCCATTGCACTCCAGCCTGGGTGACAGAGTGAGACTCCGTCTTTAAATAAATAAATAAATAAATAAATAAATAAATAAATAAAGGGTTAATGCAAGTGGGCCTGGTGATGGGGGCCAGAGTGGGGCAGTGGCGAGCTGGGTAGAGAGAACAGAACCTGGAGAGAGCTCAGGAGGTCTGGGGCTGGATGTCACTGGCCTGGAAGGCCCTGCTGGATTCGCTGTGTCTATCCCCAAAAGGAGAACAGATTTTATCCTGGGGCTAGAGCCACTGGTGGTCGTTAGAACTGAAGTCGCCTCTTTAGATCTTCAGACAAAAGAGTGGAAAATGAAGGTAGGTAGTGAAGGCTGGAAAAGAGGTCCCAGTGAGGGTGGTGGCCCTGTCCCCGCTGAGGGGGACAGAGTGTGAGGAGGGTAGGATGCTGTGTCAGAGCCAGAGCAAGAGCGTTCGGAGAGTTCAGGGTGAAGTCAAATTGGAGTGGGGGCCGGGCATGGTGGCTTACACCTGTAATCCCAGCACTTTGGGAGGTCGAAGCAGGTGGATCACTTGAGGTCAAGAGTTCGAGACCAGCTTGGCCAACACGGCAAAACCCCGTCTCTACTAAAAATAAAAAATTAGCCGGGTGTGGTGGCAGGTGCCTGTAATCT